ATCGTGCCGGGATGATCCCCGATCAGCCCGAACAATCCCTACAGGAAATCATTCCTGTAACTTCTGTACAGAATCTGGAACAAAAATTGCGCTGATCGTCCCAAGACGATCCATGATCGGCCTGGACGATATGTGCAGAACTGCTATTACAATACTAGTTACAAAGGAATATATATATAAAAAAAAAACTCTAATACCACTACATACATAGTCTCAAGTTGCATGCTCCTTACCTGAAATCATTTAAACTACGTAATGAGCGAAAAGCCCAACAAATAATCAAAATCTTACAACTGAAATCAATACAAGAAGAAACAAAACAATATGATTTAATCATATACAAAAATCTATACATCAATATCTATGTCAATTATATGTACTAATTGTAATAGTATTAGTAATACTTATTTATACAACATTAACAGTAAACAACATCAGTATATTATAGGCTACAATATCAATAATAGTAATGAGTAATCATTCAATAATCAATATTTTATAGTCAATAATCAGTTTTCTAATAGATGTTTATATGAGGGTATATTGTATGTATTTTTCTCCTACACTTATAACTCTCAATCAATCTTAAGCTCCTTCTGACTCTTAATTTTTGCTCTGGAATAGTTGCTTTAAAATTAAGTAATTTCATATACATGTGAGAAAAGAAAAGAAAAAAAAATATCAACAAGATCTTGATATATCACTAAACAAATCACATACATCAAATGACAAAACCAACTGATACAAACAATCATCACTAAAATATATAAATTGATACAACCAACAATAGAGAAAAATTACAGTATCTCAATATCATCATCCCCGAGGGAAAATACCTTATACAACTCACTTTCGATCTCATCACCATCTGAATCTAAAGAAGAATCACTAGAAGTCTGGCTAGGTATCAACCCCTGAACTTTAGCTCTAGTCTTGTATTGCACCAAACTTACGCCTTTAAGAAACCTTCGAATAAATCCTTACTCCATACACTCCAGCTCCAAGGCCTTTACCTTCACATCATATGTGTGATCACAAGCTTCTTGAAGCTGATTCTGAACTACCATCTTGAAGGCAATTTTTTTTTTCTTTGTATTCTGCTATGACTGTTGAAGGTGACAGTTCTGATTTGGATTTGACTTCTTTCTCAAACACTAAACTTTGGAGCCTCTTATTCTCATTTTAAATGGTTGCTATCTTCTCCTTAAAGATCTGTTGATCTTTTACAAGCCAATTGATTGTTTCATGTGCATCCACCAACTCAATATGAAGATGATCCATCTTTTGATTCTATAAACAGGCTAAAGTTGCCATAATAGCTAATTATGCTCTCCACTTTGCTAGTTTCTCCTCCACTACCTTCATCTCCTTGATTTTTTCATCATACTTCTTCTTGTATTATCCTTGAAGATACTTGACATTCACAAACTCATTGTTTCAATCATTCAAGATTTTTATTAATTTAATTTCAAGGTCCATACATTATAACAACTGAAACAATAAGAAAAATTTTGTAAGGGACATATTATTATAACAATGTAAAAAGAAAAAGCAAAAAAAAGAAAATGGAAACTCGCCAATTCTTCAATTCATCGATGTATAACATATTGATGTTTCAAAACATCTTATAGAGTGTGTAACTTGGATGAAGAGGAATGATGATCATAAAATATCCTCTACCTTTTCTTCTTAGATGTATGTGGATCATCTTTATTCCCTAATTGTTTAGGGGAAACTTTTGAAGTGGGGACAACTGCCTCAGGGACTTTGGTTGACTTATTTAGCAGCATGAGATCTTCCTTCACGAGTATATATTTTACCTGAACAAATACTCTTCATCTATATATTAACTCAAATAATGTACCTCGTACTGAAGAGTGTCAACATCAAGAAAGTTGAGCATCTTTAATAGATCTTTTGCTCAAACATGAAAGGGTATGGGTAACTCCTTAAGATTTCCCTATTTCTCCAAACAGATTTCAATCATTCAACACAAAGAAGAATCTATTAACTTAGCTCTTTGATAAGTCTCGAGTGTGAATATCTAATCATTTGAATCTGAAAGAGATACGACTCTGCGTATCATAAGTAAGTTGGCCCATCCGAGAAAGACATATTAGAGACAACACCACACCACTATCTCTAAAAATACGATCAATCCCATTATGATTGATATGGCACTATAAGAAAATATGGACAAACTCACTCTATATGCCATTGAAATGTCACAAAATTGTCAAAGGTTGTGATGCATATTTTCATACTTCTAAAGCTTTGACGTCCAAAAATAAGGGGCAATTGATATATCATCAAAAATTATCTTGATTGGGCATGCATGAATCTTGATGTAAAATCAAGATGGAAACTTCCAAAATTAAAATTGGGACCATCAATACTCCTATTTCAACAAACTTGTAGTCCAACTGAATGTCTCAAATATATGATACCAACGACACCAAATCAACTCAATCTGAGTCCAGATTGGTCCAAACTGAAGACCCAAAGTGCATTTGGAGAGTTTAAACCATAAATTGGATAACCAAATGATTTCCAAACACAACATACTTATATTCAAATAGAGCGGCTCAACGAGACAAATCCAATGAGCCCAAGATTGTCAAATTTTGATATCATTAAGATAATCAAATGCTCGGTGAATGATTCATGATCAAGAGAATCAACATTGGTCATCCATTCAAACCACTCACAAATTACTCTAGATCTCCCTCATATTTATTGGCCATGCCACTCTAAGCAAACTAGAGTGGCATGGAAGAGAAAAAAAAGAGCTCTCTTGCCACCATACCCCTTCTCGACCATCGTCACATTTTTGCCCGTCCACCAGTTGGCGTCGGACTTCCACCTGGCCACAAACTATCGCCGGACTTCTGTCCGACCGTCGACTAATGCTGGACTTCTGCCCCACAGCTAACTTGCGCCATACCATCAATTGACGCCAGATTTTTGACCTTCGACTAACGCCAGACTTTTGCCTGGTCGTCAATGGACGTTAGACTTATGCCTGACCAACAAACGTCACCAAACTTTTATCAAATCTTCATTCACACACTAGATTTTCAACCTGATGATTGACTATTGTAATCTAAGCATTCTCAGTTTCAAGGACGAATCTGACACTTGTAATCTATTCAAATACTAGTTGAATCATTTCAACTAGGCGTGGCCTTGCGATTTTTCCCTTTTTTTCAGGATTTTCCATGTAAAAATTCTAGTGTTCATTTTTCTATGTTTGTGGGTTGAATATCCGTACAACGCTAATACAAGAAAATCTAACTCCATCACCACATATATTCTAACATGCAACAAACATAAATTTTACTTCTAATATCTTCAACTAATCCATGCATGACCTAAGGTTTGTGAAGTAGTAATCTTGATCTTACTTAAGTTGAGGGTTCAAGAAATATGTAATATAGTGAACACCTTGGTGAATCTGACAATCCTATATTTTCTTAATAATGCTTAAGTATATCTTATACAATCTTTTTATACTTTGAAGTTGCTTTTAATTACCTTCATTGCTTTGCATATTCTTTCGTAAATATAATCAATCCATATCTTCTAATTAGAGTCAATCACTAGTTATAATCTTATGAGTTGAATTGCTAATTTTGACAGTATTAAGCAATCATTCTAAAACTTGGAGTAAAAAATGATAGAATTTGACTTTTTTTCATTGTTTTAACAATTTTAAATCATTAAAGTACTTACTAATTTTATATATTCATGCCTAATAGTAGCTATCCACTTAATCTTTTTTCTGTGCAAATGGTGAATTTAATATAGTCAAAGGTATGCAATTATAAAAAAAAAAAATCATACAGAAAGTGCCAAATCTTTTAATTCCAACGTAGATTTTAAGGATGGTTGTGATCCAAGCTTAGACCTAGGAGCAAAGTAACTATCCATATCGTCAAGCTTTCTCTTCATTTTATCTACTCCTTTATCATATGTAGCAAATGTGGAAGATTTGAAGCTGGAGAGGCCGAACAATCAGCAAAGCACCATCGAGGAAAAAGAGAAAAGAGCTGGTTTGCGATGAAGGAGAAAACTCGAAAACAAGAAGGAACTTAAAGTCACACCATTGAAGCACCTTTGCCAATGACAGAGGCCGACGCATACTTGAAGGAGGAGAAGCTTGCTGATCTTGCCAAGTTGGGAAAGGCCTAACAATGCTTAAGTATAACTTATACAATCTTTATATATATATAATAATAAAAAGGAAACGTATTAATTGCATAGCATATATCTGAATAAAAATATAGCTTAATGATATCAGAAATCAACGAACTTTAGCTCGTTGGATTCGTCTCGTCGAACCGTTCAATTCGACTATAAGCAAATAAATTTTGGAAACTGTTTGATCATCCAAATTATGTTTTGAACCTTCCAAATATGCTCTGGGTCTTTGATTTGGACTCATTTGGGCTCGGATTGAGTCAAATTTGGTGTTGTTGGGTTCGTATTTTCAAGACGTTCAATTCGACTATAAGTTTGTTGAAATCGGAGTTCAAATGGTCTCCGATTTAATTTTTGATGTTCCTAATGTTATTTTTTTCTCAAGATTAGTGCTGGATCAAGATAATTTTTTGATGATATATCAATAACTTAGTCTTGATTAAGAAAAATAAATTAATTCATTTACTTCTTTCTCTTAAATTGAGCATGTGTAGAAGAGAAAATAATTAATTTCTCACCTATAAAAATATAGGTGTGAATTTTTGCTATTTCTTGTTCTCCTTCGATAGTGGTGATTGGTTGAAGACATAATTGATTTTTTTTAGGTGATAAAATCAAATTATCTGACTAATATAGTCAACAATTAGCGAGAGGTCAATTTCTTCTGTATTCCATTACAGTACACTCTTGTAGTATTTATCAACTATGCAGGGCATTTTTGTCACATGTTGCCGATAAAATCCTTCCATCTTTTCTCGATCTCTTGCTCCACCAATATTTGGCTTGCTTGCTGGGTTTCTGCATCTAGAGCTCTCGAATTCCGCGAGGCCTGCCAGACCTTCTGTATGTGAAATCTTTGTTGACCCCAAATCGCCAGATTTTTGTTTTAAATTTTGATCCTTTTCGCTGTAAGTGAAAATTGTCAGTTTTAGCTTTTCGATTTTTCAGTGCTAATCAGATAGTTCCAATTTGATGACTGCAAATCGATTGTTCTTTTCGCTATTTTAATTTGTTACTTGAAATCGTAATTTCTAGGGCAACTGCGACGGTGTATGACGGCTCTTTCATTAGGGCTTTTTCGTTTGAGCTTCAATTTTTTTGGGTTTTGAATATTTCAGTCGCGCCTTGCTTATGATGAAATTTTTTTAGGGTTTTCACACGTTTGGGGAAGAGGAAATTTACGTGATTCAATAGTTGGAGCAGAAGCATGCGGTGGCTTAGCCTTTCCGTGGATGTCTACCGAAAAGTGGTTTCCTTGAACTTATATTGCAGGGTTATTCTGTAACTTGGGTTCCTACTTGGCTTTATTCTGCTTACATCTCCCGTTTCCTTTTCACACTGGAATTCATGGGGGCTCGGATTCTTTCCAGCAAAACCACCTGAAACATCTTGGGCAGCTTCTTGATTTTCTGGGGAATTCATCCTTTTTCCAAATCCTTCTTTTCGGCTTTCACTTCAGATCTTTTCCATTTCCTATCGCAGTTTCTTATTCATCTTGCGATTCTTCTTCCTCTGCTTCTGTGGTGGGCAGCTCAGTTTGAAAGGAAAGCGAAGTAGTTATGGTGTGCCAAGCAGCGACTCAGACGAGATTTCGGGAATTGAAATACGAGTATGGTATTGCTGGCTGTGTTACCATAATAGTTAGAGTAATCGCTTGTTTCCAACCGTTGCAAGATTGTCAGGTAATTCCAGTGGAACTAAGATATTGCAATCTTAAATAACTTTTTGATTCCATCCTATTATTCAGGTTATTTTAATTCAATTTTCTCTTTCTTGTATGATATTTTCTTGGCGCAGGCTGAGTATTTCCGCCACCTCTTGAAACCAGTCACGTAGATTTGTTTCCTTCCACTGCTTGATTAGAATAAAGCTGGAATTTTGAACTCGTTGAGAAAGAACCTTTGATAGATCTCTGTGTGCTTCCATTGGTGCGGTTGTTTTCTTCAATCCTAGTTAAAAAGCAACCACTTTTATTGTGCTGCTAGAGATTTTTGCATCCGAGTGTTTGCGTTTCAAGAGATTAGCTTGTTTTTACTGCACTAGATGTGGGAATTTAGTAACTTAAACGCGGGTGGTACTTTCTGCCCCCCTGATGCTGCGCAACTACAGAACTCACTTGCCTATCCAACCTCTGGTAATTCTTATAGCCCTTCATTCTGTGGTGTCCCATTTCCTGGTTTTAAAGAGCAGGGGAGCTTCCTTCGGTTTAATTCTGCGATTTTGCCACCACTGAACTCACTGGCTCTAAATCCTGCAATTAACTCTGATGAACCAGAAGCAACTAATGCGAAGAAGTTCCTTGTTTTCAATCACTCTGGGGACCAAACAAGCTTGCTTTTTAGTTCGGTGGCAACCCCATTAGAGGGTTTTAATCCAGTTCTACCTGCGAGCAATGCAACCCTTGCATATTCCTCCAATAGCCCTATCAGCAAGGAGGATGAAATGCATGAAGATACAGAGGAAATTGATGCCCTTCTTTACTCGGACTCTGAATACTCATATGATGATGAGGAGAGTAGCACAGGCCATTCTCCATTGGACATGGAGGAGGAAGAGATTGCCAGCTCCTATCTCCCAACCAAGCGCCGCAGAGTTGAATCAACCGAGATGAACACTTTGCTTATGGACACTGCAAGCTCTGCAATATCTCCTTTGCCTCATTACATGCCTGAAGATGACGATGATGATATAAGCTTTGCCGGTTGCATCGGCAAAGGCGAAGACAAAAGTGGACGAGGAGGCAGAAGCATGAGTAACAAGAGGGAGAGGATCCGCGCCACAGTTAGCATGCTGAGGAGAATCATTCCAGGAGGGAAGGGCAAGGACACAACCTCTCTGCTCGATGAGGCAATTCAATATCTGAAGTCACTGAAGCTACAAGCGACTGCTGCAGGTGCCAATTCCTTCACCCTCTAAATCTTATGATCAAAATCTTCCCCTATATAGTACTACTAGTATTTGCAGATTGAGTACTAGTTTGGTAGTAGTTGCAGTATAGTATCCCCAGATTACATTACTGGTAGGCAGTTGAGCCATCAATCCAATGGAGGCTTAGGCTTCATTTGGGGCGGCTTTCTTACTGCTTCTTGAAGCAACTTTTTAGTACAAGAAATAAAAATTTTCTAAAAAAAGCTGCTTTAAGAAATAGTAAGAAAGCCGTCCCAAATGAAGCTTCAATCAATGATTGATTGTGCAATAAAGCCTAAAGGTTCGAAGGGTATTGACTTTGCATCTTTTGACCCTTGACGTGCAACGGAATCAGACTCTTATGATCTTCTGGTTGGGCTGGCGACCCTTTTGCTTTATTAGCGTGTTTAGGGAGAAGTCTTTCTCTTATCTTTAGGCTATGGCTGTCGCTATTGCTAGTGGTAGAGGACGTGTTATTGCTTTCATGATGATTGTTGCAAGCTTTATGAGAATGTTTAATGGTGATTTGTGTGTGCTTATGTAGGAGAGCTTGCTGCTTAGCTTTGTTGTGTGTGGTGCTTTAGTGCAAGCGATTTGTGTGGTTACTTTTTAATGATGTCTTGTGTTGATACCTCTTGTTATGCTGGAATTCCATTTGTGAGCTTAGCAATCTGTAATGTCTTTCTGTTCTATTTTTAGCCGGTGAGTTTTTAGCATTTAGGCTTCATTTGAGATTGACTTTTTTTACTGCTTCTTAAAACAGCTTTCTAGTATAAAATTTTTAATTTTTTTCCCAAACGGAGCCTTAGTTACTATTTTATTTAGAATTATTTTATATATACCAACTTAACACTAATAATGAACAGCACAATATGATCAATAAATTTATGATTTGTTTGAACACCAAAGTCAATAAATAATATGATTATAGTTTAGGGTTTAATTTATATGTTTCTATCTCTCTCTCTCTAAACAATTCATTCATTTGAGCTGTTGACTTTGTTAAAAAAGAAGTCAACGTTAGATACCATATTTTTAGTTTGAAAATTTGAACTTCTGAGGCAAATAGTGGGATTGGAAATATTCTGAATTTCAGATTAAATTTATATACATAATTTATTAGTTATTAATCCTAAAATTATTCATATGTATTGTTCAAATTAATATTTTGGAGCTTTTATTCTTCTATAGCAATTTTTAGGATATCTGCGCAAAATATTTAAAATTTTTTATAAAAAAATATGGCAAAAATTCATAATAAATATGTCAAAATGTGTAGAATAATAAGAATAGCAACATATAAGAAGTTTTGGGGTGAAAATTTCTTTGATAACAATTTATTCTAGTTTTTGTGTTATTCGTTTAATTAGAAAGTTAGAAATTTTGTAAGAACTCATATTATTAAAGAATAAATGTAGGTAAATATAACTTATCTCGCTCTAGATAATTTTTTCAATTAGCTCCATGGACCAAAATGACTTGAGGACCTTGAAAACAGAAGAAATTATTGTGTACGGAATCTGAATGCATTCGGATTTCAATTATCATGCGGGATCTAGAATACATCCGTTGATGTGGCAAGTTGCGATTGAAATCTGAATGCATTCGGATTCCGCACATAATTTCTCTGAAAACGTACTCTCTCTCTCTCTCTTGTGGAATTTGATATTTATACAACGTCGTGACGCTCTCAAGGGATTTTTTCTTCTAGTAGATTTTCTATTCCAATTCAAACTCACTAAATCATGAGATTAATATTAATAGAAAATAAAGCAGAAACTTTCACAGAAATTCTAAAATGTAGAATTTTAAAACATGGCAGTCTTATCAGATCAATTCAAATCATTACAGATAACTGATTACTACAAAAGTGATTATTACACAATCAACTTTATTATAATAATCTTTGTTTATGTAGCTAATGATGTCCAACTTTGCAATTCTCTTGTTGTCATTTTTGACTTTGTTAATAGTGGGTGGATTGTTATGAAAGGTTTCAATTGTATTCATTTTGTTAATGGTCAAGTATGGGTAAAATCTCTTCTTCTCCCTATAAAAATGAAATACTTCAATAATTGTACCTTTGAAATTGGCTTGTGAAACTTCTAGTGTGGATTTTACATTCATTTAGTTCAATAATCAAATATCTTCTTCAATTAAAACTAAAAAATTACTTGGTTGGATCTCTCTGTCTTTTTTCTACTATGTCAAAATTCATCTCAAAAAAGCTTTTGATATTATCAATTGGGTTTATATATTATAAAGACCTATACAAAATGGGCTTTCCACAAGAATTTATTAATTTGATTTCAGGGTGTAGTGATGATATTCCTTTCTCTGTTAACATAAATGAGGAAATCAAATGATACTTCAACTTTTTCAATGGATTGAAGTATGTTTTCTTTCTCTTTCCTTTTCCTTTCACAATTATTAAGGATTTTTCTCCAAACTCTTATTTCTAGTATAAAATTTTTAATTTTTTTCCCAAACGGAGCCTTAGTTATTATTTTATTTAGAATTATTTTATATATACCAACTTAACACTAATAATGAACAGCACAATATGATCAATAAATTTATGATTTGTTTGAACACCAAAGTCAATAAATAATATGATTATAGTTTAGGGTTTAATTTATATGTTTCTATCTCTCTCTCTCTAAACAATTTCATTCATTTGAGCTGTTGACTTTGTTAAAAAAGAAGTCAACGTTAGATATCATATTTTTAGTTTGAAAATTTGAACTTCTGAGGCAAATAGTGGGATTGGAAATATTCTGAATTTCAGATTAAATTTATATACATAATTTATTAGTTATTAATCATTAAATTATTCTTATGTATTGTTCAAATTAATATTTTGGAGCTTTTATTCTTCTATAGCAATTTTTAGGATATCTGCGCAAAATATTTAAAAATTTATATAAAAAAAATATATGGAAAAAATTCATAATAAATATGTCAAAATGTGTAGAATAGTAAGAATAGCAACATATAAAAAGTTTTGGGATGAAAATTTCTTTGATAACAATTTATTCTAGTTTTTGTGTTATTCGTATAATTAGAAAGTTAGAAATTTTGTAAGAACTCATATTATTAAAGAATAAAAGTAGGGTACATATAACTTATTGCGATTTAGATAATTTTTTCAATTAGCTCCATGGATAAAAATGACTATAAGCTATGAAAACGGGAGAAATTATTGTGTGCGGAATTCGAATGTATTCGGATTTCAATCATCATGCGTCACGTCACTGGATGCATTGGGCCTCGGAGTGCATCCGCTGATGTAACAAGCTGTGACTGGAATCCGAATGCATTCGGATTCCGTACATAATAATTTCTCTGAAAATGATCTCTCTCTCTCTCAGGTCGGTTGATCAAATGTTGTAAGTTTTATTTGTGGAATTTGATATTTATACAACGCCGTGACGCTCTCAAGGAATTTTTTCTGCTAGTAGATTTTCTATTCCAATTCAAACTCACTAAATCATGAGATTAATATTAATAGAAAATAAAGCAGAAACTTTCACAGAAATTCTAAAATGTAGAATTTTAAAACTTGGCAGTCTTATCAGATCAATTCAAGGCATTACAAATAATTGATTACTACAAAAGTGATTATTACATAATCAACTTTATTATAACAATCTTTGTTTATGTAGTTAATGATGACCAACTTTGCAAATCTATTGTTGTCATTTTTGGCTTTGTTAATAGTGGGTGGATGGTTGTGGGAGATTTCAATTGTATTCATTTTCTTAATGGTCGAGTATGGGAAATATCTCTTCTCCCTATAAAAATGAAGCACTTCAATAATTGTACCATTGAAATTGGGTTGTGAAACTTCTATTGTGGATTTTACATTCACTTAGTTCAATAATCAAATATCTTCTTCAATTAAAACTAGAAAAATTACTTGGTTGGATCTCTCTGTCTTTTTTTCTACAACATTCACTCATATCAAATTAATCTATGTCAAAATTCATCTCAAAAAAGCTTTTGATATTATCAATTGGGTTTATATATTATAAAGACCTATAGAAGCTTGAATTTATTAATTGGATTTCAGGTTGTAGTGATGATATTCCTTTCTCTATTAACAAAAATGAGGAAATCAAATGATACTTCAACTTTTTCAATGGATTGAAATAGGTTTTCTTTCTCTTTTCTTTTCCTTTCATAATTATTAAGGATTTTTCTCCAAACTCTTAAATAGCGAGGCTATGAAAAGCTAGTACTCTCCTATTTGTAATGTAAAATAGTCTAAAAGGTGCCATGGATTGGGGAAATCAAAAGTAATTTTGCATTTGCAATGGAAATATAGGGTCAAAAGATGTTAAGGATGATAAAATATTTCTTGCCGATCCCTTTTATTTTAAATATGGTTCAAATAGAAGCATCAATGTTCTGTTTGGATGTCAAAATTTTGAGTGGAAGAAAATTTTCATAAAACTGTCACTTTCTTCCATATTAATTCTCAGAATTGTTGTATATTCAGTTCAAATGCTCATCAAATGATCAATAAATGTTCTATTTCCTTCCTATAGTAAAACTAATGCCATGAACATAATCACAGTATAGTTAACATACTTCTTTCTTACTATAAATTATTCCATTCATAAAATCTGCCTACTTATGCCAACTAAGTTCACATAAAATACAATGTTTTCAGCTTGAAATTGCATTCTTCCCTAATTGCTGAAAGGAATTACAATATATATATTATGAATATAATGAAGAAATATATTTGGTGAAAAGATGGAATAATTTTCTTGAAAATATACAGTTTAGAGTTTAGACGGTAGGGAAGAATATGTATGCTTCCACTAGCTACAAGGAGAAATTATTCTGTATGGAAGCTGGACGTAGCTTTACGTCTGGAGGCAAATCAGGTGCAGTCATGTCAGCAGTACTGAGCCGTGGTACACAGCGAAAGGGTAACGTGGCACATTTTGATTGGCCTCCGAACGGCGTTCCACGTCCACACGGAATAATTAATCCAATAAAGGGAGATTGAGAAATATAATTAGCCCATATAAAACCCAGACCAATGTATTGATAGGCTTATGAAGATAAGATTTTACATATTGGTGGCCCAATTAAAGCCCACGGTGTTTAGAAAGTTTATGAGCTTAAGGTTGATGCCTTTTGTCCATTTTTTTAAATATTTTCCCAAAACAAAAAGAAAAAAAACTGCTTAATTATAAATTATAGAATAAATTTATTTGAATTAACGTGCCTACCAAAAAATGAATATACTCCTCAATAATGTTGTAAAAATTATTATGTGCGGACACAGGACGACATCTGAAGGCCAACCAAAATGCGCCAAATCATTTTTTGCTCGGTATTGGTGCTTGGTACCGCTGTGTACTGGTTGATGTGGCTTGTTCTGATTGGTCTCCGGACAGTCCGGTGTCCATAAAGAATAATTTCTCTGATGTTGACATAAATTTCTAACGCCAAAATATTTTAATTTCATATAGACAAGTCTATGATTATTAATTCTAACATTATCAAAGCATTAAAATGTCGAAAAATAATAATTTATGATCAAGCGTGATAAATGTAGACCATCTCATGAAATAATATTAAACGCTTTTTGATCGAAATGATCATAATGTCACTCAGAATATTTTTTTTGGGGGGGGCTTTTAAGTCAATTGAGACAAATTCATATAAATCATATACGTAA